AATTATTCGTATCTCTTATTCCCTCATCCTTTCTTTTTTAGTGCATTAGACAAATTCGAAGAGGATGCACGAGTTGGTGATACTCTCATAGTGAAAGTGAAGCGATGTGATATTGTGGGTGCATATGTGAAGCCCTTATGCTTCGCCACACGCATAAAACGTGATTTGGAATGGCTTGATTTACAGGTGATTTTTTTCATATTGATCAAATATTTCGAGGCGTGACAATCCATACAAACGTTTTTGAATTTATCCATGTAAAATGCGGACCGAACATTATGCAAAGTACACGTAATCTTGGTTGTGTTGGCATAATCGCGACTGGAAATTATATTGAAAGCTCTGCGGATGAGAGGGACTCTTTTCGATTAGCTGTGGGTGGCATTGCGTCTTAGCCATAGTGTGTAAAGAACTTTGCCATTTATTGAGCTTCATTCATAGTAAAAAAAAATAGTGCCTCAAGTCCTTATCAAATCGTTATCGTTTTTAGGACCAGTCTGTATGAGTTGTTCAATGGGGCGTGAGTTTGCTTTCGCTTTTTCTGGCAAGGTTTATCCTGGGTACCTCGTAACCGGGCGGAAGTGGTGTAGTGGCAAGTGGCACGCTTACCACGCGAGCGGTCCGGGGATCAAATCCTGGGTCGTGAGTCGCCCGGGCCAACCAAGCCTTCCATCCCTCCGGGGTCGGTTAATTGGTACCAGACTTGTCTGGGAGGATAAAAACACTGACTTGTACATCGGCTGGCCCCCGCAAGTCATTGTATACTGCGAATGTACAAATGGAAGTAGAATGCGTGCCGCATCCCAAAAAGGGATTGATCAACGGCAAATGCTTTATCCTTTATGCTTCATCCTTGACCTCATAACCGTGACCTAAACCCCTGGCCCACCTTCCTCTTTTGCAGAAGCTGTCTTCAGAGACGATAGCTATTAATGTTTTTTCAAGGAAAAGCTATTCTTATTTATGGTTAATACTACAATTTTGAACATAAGATTTAGAGTTTTGCCCATAAACGAGCATCCTTGCGATAACCTAGTTGCATTTTTTTATCACCGGATCTTTCTCAACCTCAGCGGTTCCTGTGTCAGTCTCGTGAGTCAAAGGAAAGCTGGACTAATTTCGCATTCTTGCGAGAGATCGGTCACTCAGCAAGGAGGCTACAGTGAAGCAAAACCTCACAGAAGTCGCAGCTGAAGCTTTGGGAATCGAGTGGTTATATTCATACTTAAAATAAAAATGCTATTGGTACCG